TGACTTGTTAGTCTTGCAAACTCATTAAAACAATTGAAGAGTGGGCTAGTTTCTATTCCTTGTGTATCGTCAAAAAAGCCAACTAAGTTTTGAATATAGAAAGTTGTACTAGTGTTATTAATGGAGGCAGAAGACAGCTGGTGCTTTCAGATCCTAGATGAAGTTTGTGGAGATAGCAGCTACAAGTAGTATTGTTCGACTTGTAAACTTGAAGGAGACTTGCCAGCTGTCATTTTTAATCCCTTTATAGAGTATTTGTGATTAGAGATATAAGCAACTAGTCAAGGAGTCAAGTGACTACTTTACTACTCCCTTCCCTCCCTTCCCCTCTGCTGCCTCCGTATCTGAGACAGTGGAGGGGGAAGAGATCAGGAGCCAGTTCCCCTCAGCACCATCTCCACGGTGCAGGGGGGAGGCAGAAACGCAGCAGTCCCGAAGCCAACAGCACCGTCTCCAGGAGCTAATCCCACTGCAGCTCTGCACTTTAAAATTTGTAATATTTGGACTGACTTTGGGACTAGGTTGCGTATGAGTTGAATTGACCTGGGAAAATGACTTTGATTCAGTGTGATTGGACTTCATTAGTGTAATGCATGTTTTTCTTTATTCCTCATTAAGGGTGTCAGTGGTTAAAAGTGGTCACGGTGATGCTCACTGGTTACCAGTTAACCAGTGGCCTGTTCAGGCCAGAGCAGCTCTCCAACCACCTGTGATGTGTTGCAGTAGCTTGCTGCACCGCTGGAGGGGGTGTTCCTGCCTTACCCAACCTACTACCTGCTCCCATTTAAATTGTTAACCACTTAAACCTAACATTTAACCGGTTAACTGATTAACTGGGATTTTACATCCGTATTCACCATGTACATGTCTGCACCAGTCAGGTGTTAGGACTCAGAATACTGAGCTGGTGTCTGAAAATGGTATGAGATTAGAAAACATGTTGTATCAGCTTTGTGGCTCTGAATGTTGTGTAGACTATGTGTAACGTGTATCGTTTACTATAAGTATTAAACGTTAAATTTTCCTCTGAATGCTAGTTTGAATATAGGATTTTTAAAGTGACAATGTCGTTCTAAAATGACCACCGGGATAAATATATTGTTTAGCGGTGGAACAGGGTAATTTGGAAACCACTTCTGGGCCCAGTTCTATGACTACACTGAATGTTGGAATTAATAGAATACATGGTGTTACTTGGTTTGGTTTAAAAAGGATTTTTTTTGACAGTCACTTGTCCATTCTTAATCCCTAACCCTCTCTGGGAAGTATCAAGTCTATCTAAAAATATATCCAGTGAAGGTGATTAACAAATCTTCCTTGGCAGTTTGATCCATTGCTTAAGTATTCTGCTCTTTTTTTTTTCCCTAATATTTTGCAACTTCCTTGATACCTTTCATTCAGGAACTCCAAGTGTTTTACAAGTATTAATGAATTAATCCTTCCAGCACTCCTGTGGGGTAGGTAATTAACCTACATTTTTCTTACCACACCATAAACCCATTACTATTTGTTTGTCCTCACTGACTAATGAGAATAATTGGTACCTGTCTTCTTAACATCACTGTGTATTTGTAGCCAGTGTTTAAATTCATTCTTCGTACTACTTTTCTCTAAGCTGAACATAGCAGCTCTCCTCACCATTTCCTAATGAATTTATTTCCGTAACCTTTTGCTCTTTCTTCTAAAACCTTTCCAGTTAGAGTTTTGAAATATCTAAAGCTCATTCAGTTCATAAGAATAATCTCCCTTATTTTGCACAATATACTCCTGTTAACATGACACAAAGTAGCATATGTACTTTTGTTCAGGATTGAATTCACTACTTTATGGGTAGATTGTGTCATTATGATCAAGCCCTGCTGTTTGGGCAATGTGTTGTAGTGATGCCTCTGGAGTATCCTGGGAGAGTGATTGTCTAAACCTGGAGCAGTGTGTGCACTCTCAGCTACACTAGCATAACTACATGAGGCTTTTCCCTCTTGCCTCCCATCCATCTGCATGGGTGGGGAGCCAGCTGCTCCCTGCACACTAGAAACAGTAGTATAAAGCACCAGCACTAAGGAGGTGTATTATGCCACCTTAGTTCCATGAGCTGCATATAAGACAGTCACTATCTGTCTTAATTTGTCATCATTTACATTTCTGTGGCCTCTACTTAGATTTCCTGTCTTAATTATTTATTGAATCTGATTTTATATTGGTCATTTTTCCATTTTATCAAATATGTACTGTATTGCAATCCCTTGCCACTGGAGTATTTATGATCCTTTTGACCTTTATTATTTGCAGATATCAATATACTTACTCACCACTCCATTCTTCAGGTTAATGAAAATGCTGATTAATAATAGACCTTTGTGGGCCCCTATTCAACATCACCTTCTTAATGGGCACTGAACCATTAAAAACAGTTTCGGTTTTTAGCCAGTTGTGAAATCACTTTATTATTCTATGTAATCCACACTGCATTAGTGGTAGAAGTGGAAAGCAAAATGAATAGGATTTGGTTAGATGAAGTCCTTCTGGAGTGCTTGTGTGGTTCTCGTTTACAGCCAATAACTTGTTCCTTCTCTCTTACTCCTAAGTGCTATGATTATTTAAAGCAGGGCTGGACAGTAAGTGATCTGCTGGCTGGACAGTAAGTGATCTGCTGGCTGGACACTGTTTGTAAGGGTTAGCCACTGGTAGGCTGTCAAATGTTTTATTTACCTGCACATTTGCAGGTACAGCCGTTTGCAGCTCATGATGGCTGCAGTTCACCTTTCCTGGCCAATGGGAGCTGCAGGAAGCAATGATTTCTCTTGTGCTGCTTCCCACAGTTCCCATTGGTCAGGACAAGTGAACCATGGCCAAAGGGAACAAGCAGCCTTCTGCAGACACACAGGTAAATAAATTGTCTGGCAGCCTGCCAGGGGCTAACACTGCCAAGCTTTATCTCACCCGTGGACCACTTATTGCCCACCACTGCTTTAATGTGTCTATGGCTGTTTGTTACAAGTGAAAATGAATTTGGTTTTTCTCATGTTAATCTATTTAGAGATGTTTGTCCGAGTTAAAGCCTTGCCATATTTTTGGCTATACTAAATGTAGTTAGCTCCTTGAATTCATAAGTACTAATGTCACTCACTTCCCCCCTCCCCCAAGTATTTTTGCTAATCATTGATATTTCAGACCAGACCTATAACAACAACTGAAAAACTCAGTCTATGCTTAGCAAGACTCACTGGAATCAGTGAGAAATTAGCTTGAGTAAGGATTTCAAGATTCGGTCCATAATGAAATTAACAATGTTGGAATGTAGTTCTTCTTTGAAAAGTAACTGAAAATGGCATGTGAAATTCTGTGTGCCTCTGACTTCTATATATGCTCAGTTTGCAAATAAATACATACTTTTCTAATTGCCAGATCTGTAAATTTAACCTGAAATCAGTGTCAGTGGTGTTCTTCCTGATGCAAAACTAGAGAAACAAGGTGTTTGAGGAGGGATATAGAGAGGAGGGCATGAGAGTGCGTGACCATACGTAGAAAGCAGCCTGAAGAAAAAACATTAATAGAATGGTGAAAAGAGGAGAAAAAAAGATGTTGACTGAAGAAATGTATAAAAAAAGAACTATCAGTTCAGCTGAACCAGTGTTAAACTTGTGGGAATCAAAATATACTCAGCTTAGTCAGGTTCTAGCATTCTTGCCTTAAAGTTACTGAAAGCAGTATTGACTATGTGCTCACATTTACAATCCCTGAAAATCCCTATTCTCAAGTTTTAAAATTTGCACTGTTGACTGGAGAGGTAAAAGCAATCCTTTGTCCTGAGAACTATCATACTCTTCCTTCCCATTCCCTACTTTATTCCGTTTTATAAAATGTAGCGGAAGCAGCTCTGATGAAGTGTGAAGCCCAATTTGGCCATCTTGCCCTCTGTTCTATGCTGATACTTTTTTTGAAGTGGTTAATTTGTTGCAGGGTTGAGCCTGGTACTCTAGACTTGGCAGTTCAGAGCCCTGGTACCTCTGGGCTTGCTGCATCAGTTATGAAAGTAAACAAAAAAAAAATTTGCTTGAGCTCTGGCACTTCTTTCATTACCAATTAATCACTGTTTTCGTGGCTATTTGGGAGAGGGAGGTTTGGAAGGGGAGCCAATATTTGAAACTCATGGAGATTTCTGTATGCAGCATATATGAGGCCCTAAATTAGCTTTATGTAATTTGGGGGGGGTACATATTGGGGAACGGGGGGTCATTATGTAATCAGCAAAATCAAAAGGAACATGGACTTTTTCTGAGATCCAAAGATGCTTGGAAAAGGAAGAGAGAACTAGGATATAATATAATGGTATTCTATATTGATGTAATGCTTTTTTTTAAACAAGCAAAATATGTTCAAATTACAAAAGGCCTGTTATAAATTAATAAGAGGAAGGAAATCTAGAGTTAAGGATTACAATCTCTCCTTGATTTGTCTTGTGGTGTTTGCACAATTTATACTGTTTGCAGGTATTCAATGTGTACTGCAATATGAGATGATAATAGGATATGGAAAGGGCTACCTCTCAGTATTAACATTTACTTTCCTGCACTTTATCTTAGAACCCATAGTGTTAATCCTGTTTATTGCCAATATGTCTTAATAGAGGTCATATAGTTTATATTGACTCGGTTTTTCTCTTGTGCTCTGATAAGCACATGCTGCCTAAAGCCACGTCTTAGCTCTGCAAAAGACAGGAGAGATTTAAAAATTCAATTTTTAACATTCAAGTAAGACTTGAAATTCAGATTTTAAAACTTTTTAAAACTCTCTCAGGAACTGAGCTACCTGTCAATGAAGTATAATGATTAAAAAACAAAATTCAATTTATAATTTCAGTAAAATGATTGTATTTATTTATGCTACTAAATAATAGATATTTTGATTAGTAGCTGAAATAAATTTGCTCTATTAAAATTTCCCCCCACCTCCAGAAAAAAGTGTTTAGAAGACACTTTTTCTTTGTATTATAATTCTAGCAAAAATGATGACCCTGGACATATGGCTTAAAGACCTTGCCGTAATACAGTTAAACACAATCATTTATATGGGTTTCCCGCAAGAAGTAAATATTATGCATGTTTGTGCTAGCTTATGAAAATATTTCCAAATACAAAGTAACCTTCTTAGAATTATTTCCAATTTGTTGATTTTCTTTTCTCTTTTTTGTTAGATGAAAGGTGCACTGACTGAAATTATCCAGCTCGCTACCTTGGATTCAGACCCCTGGGTCTTAATGGTAGCTGATATTTTAAAATCCTTTCCAGATACTGGCTCCCTTAACCTTGATCTTGAAGAACAGAATCCCAATGTTCAAGATATTTTAGGAGAACTTAGGGAAAAAGGTAAGCAATTTATTTTGTCTAAAATTACACTGAATATTTGACGAATATTTGAATATTTTTGCAAGCAAACCATTTTGGGTGAACATCAGTGAGGTCAAGATTACACTCTGTGTGTTCACAGGTCTAATGGGAAGCAATAAATATAGGTCTAACCCACAGCACTTTGCCCTAGGAACTGTTCCATGTGAGGCAACAGAATTATGTTAGCAGTTTCTGAAGTGAAATAAACTAATGTATGATTAATACAGGTTGGACTTCCCTTGTCCGGCACCATCAGGACCTGATCCATTCTGAATGAGGGAGTTTGCCAGATATGGGGAGGTCCCCTGCCACTGGCCTTCCAGGATGCTTCCCCCCTCCCTGCAGTTAGCTCTGCTCTGGTCTCACTGCCACTGGGCTCCAGCCAGCAGGGTTTGGACTTAGGCTCCAGCCTGCTGGAGCTCCCCAGAATGAAGTGGGGACAGTGCGCTCAGGCCTCTGTGGCCCTGTTTCTCCCTGCCAGACTGGGGATCTCTGCCAGTGACAAGGTTTGCTGGTTCTGTTGTTGCCCTGTCTAGCTTGCTGGTCCCGTTGTTGCCTCGCACTCCTGGGTGCCAGGGCTCTCTGATCCAGCAACATCCATAGTCCTGCCAGTCCATGGATGTTGTCAGATGAGAGAATCTTAGATTTTGGAGGTTCAACCTGTGTAACTTTTATAACTTTTACAAGATCATAAATTAAACATTGTTTTATTCCTGTCTTGCATTTTTGTACTAATCTTCAAGGGACTTCCAGGTGTCTATTTGTTTTTGGAAGTTTTTTAAAACCATTGTTGAACTTAAAACTACCACATTAGAGGAGAGGTTCATTTACCATAGCATAATATAATGCTTTCTGTCTTGAAAGCCCGATCTCAAAGCAGTGAGTTTTGTGTGGGAAGATATCTCTATGAAGCCTAGTTAAGGATGTGAGTGTAAATCTGTTTGTGCTATACAGATGGACTGCCTCTACAGCAGTGTTCCCTGTAAGCTGTGTGCTTGTGTGACTGCTCAGGAGAGACTCATATGATGCCTAGCTGATTAGCAGAGTGCCCACAGCTAGGTTTTGTGTTTTTACTGATGGTGCACATTTGCATGTACCTTGTTGCACATAAAAAATTATTCCGGGCATGGATGAGAAAATCCACATGTGGATGTAAAAGATTAGCAGGAACATTGGCCTACACTAGAAGCTCTTAGGAAGTGTACCATTATTGCAGCTTTACTGATGATGGCAGCAATGAGAGCATTAGGGTAGATTAGACTGGCAGTTAAAATACTTGAGCCATGTGTATGCTAGTATTCCATAGTTACTGCTACCAAAGATGCTGTACTAGTGCTATTGCAACAAAAGGAACTATCCCAAAAGTGGGAAGTATATAAGAGCCACCAAATGTAATGGACGGAAATGGTTGTAGGAGCCAGGATATAGCAAGGTAATAGAAAAACTCATTGGAAAGATTACTGCATCATGATTGAAAATAGGAATGATCGTTCACTGATAGAAATTTTCACCTCTCAGAATTTTGTGGTCTACTGGATAGTGTTTCTGGTTTCTGTTCTTTTAAATTTAGCTTCTGAGAATGAATCTTCAGCGTTTTTTTCAGAGTACTGAAATGTGTACAATACTTTTAAAGTAACTTTACATTTGACTAGATCAGGGTTTCCCAACCTATGGGTCGGGATCCAAATATGGGTCACCATTACATTTCAAAAAGGTCACCAAGTGTCTCCCCAGGTGGCTCTGCCCTCCCTCCTGCCCCCGTTTTTTAATTGCCTTGGGTCACTAAATCTTCCTGAATTGTCAGAATGGGTCCCCATCTGGAAAAGGTTGGGAACTGCTGGACTGGACAAACATAATGGCTACGTCTAGGCTGGCATGATTTTCCGGAAATGCTTTTAACGGAAAAGTTTTCCGTTAAAAGCATTTTCGGAAAAGAGCGTCTAGATTGGCATGGACGCTTTTCCGCAAAAGCACTTTTTGCGGAAAAGCATCCGTGGCCAATCTAGACGCGTTTTTGCGCAAAAAAAGGCCATGGTCGCCATTTTCGCGAGCGGGGCTTTTTTGCGCAAAACAAATCTCAGCTGTCTACACTGGCCCTATTGCGCAAAAGTTTTACGCAAAAGGGACTTTTACCCAAACGGGAGCAGCATAGTATTTTCGCAAAAAGCACTGATTTCTTACATTAAGAAGTTAGTGCTTTTGTGGAAATTCAAGCGGCCAGTGTAGACAGCTGGCAAGTTTTTTCCAGAAAAGCGGCTGATTTTCCAGAAAAACTGGCCAGTCTAGACACAGCTAATGTGTTTGTCTTCAGAATAATGTATTTTCTCTTTCATTAAATCCCGGTGAAGGGTCGCTTACTACAATATAGCTAGAGTTGTCAGGTTTCTGGAATACTGATTGAGCAAAATAGAAGTTTCCCTCAGCACTGAATAAATATTTTGTAGTTAAAAATCACCTACACAAGCTATATAAAATTTGTCTGTCTTGTAATTATCTGTGAAGATGTCATTTTATCCACATGCATTATGTTAACTCTCTCTACACAGTAAGTGAATGTGAAACATCAGCTATGTTGCCGTTGGAGTGCCAGTATTTAAACAAAAATGCCTTGACAACACTAGCTGGGCCACTTACTCCCCCAGTGAAACACTTCCAGCTGAAAAGAAAACCCAAAAGTGCCACTCTACGAGCAGAACTCTTGCAGAAATGTAAGTAATAAATCAGCTAGCTGATCATATGCAGTTACAAACAGGATTGTAGAAGGACGGCATAGAATTCAGTTTGATACATATTCCTATACTGAAGAATATCATCCCCCTTTTACAAGAATATGTGGTAATTAATTTTTCCACAATATGCAGTAATGTGTAGACAATCAGGACAAAGCCATTCTGGCTATCACCCTTTTAATTTGCTAGTCTTGTTTTTGTAGTCTTAAATGCTGTTCAGATTTGAAGGTGCAGAAATGGCTCTTTTTTAAGTAGGGTTAGATTCTCTAGTGGTTACATATAGTAGTCAGTTTTAGAGCTTAATCAGGGAGCACTTTGGTTAAGATGCCTGGGGTCCTTACCACAAAAATGGACTTAAAACCTGGCTGAGCTTTATTTTGCCATATGTTTTTGCAACAGGGAGCAGAGGCAGCCAATGTATGCTTTCAATGCTCACTGTGCCTACTGAGAGTGAAAGCCAAGAGGATTTTCATTAACAGGCAGGAAGTCAGCCATTCTTTAGCTGAGTAAGCTTAAAACATTGTATTGTATACTGCACTTTGCTGTAGCAACTTGCTTTTACCTTATATGTGACTTGATTAGTCAGTTTGGTTGAATTAAAATATCAACTTGAGGAGTTAAGCATTTTGAATGAAAATCTGTTCACCTTTTTAACTTTTTTACTTCTGTAACTTAAAAGGACTGTGATTTGTCAAACATTGATGACCAGATCAGTTAGTTTCCTTTTTTGTACTTAGGCCCTAAAAGGATTTATTATAGGATGTGCAGTAGTTTTCGTTTCAAATTCAGATTTTGAAATAACTAAAGCTTGTTCTTTTTAGCAACAGAAACTGCACAGCAGCTCAAGAAGACTGCAGGAGTGCCTTTCCATGCCAAAGGGAGGGGGCTGGTCAAAAAAATAGATACAACAAGTATGACTCATTTTATATTTATTATTCAATAGAGAATAATGTATTTGTCTATATCTCATAGGTAGGTCAAATAGGGTTTGTGACAAAATTGCAAGGTTTATTTTTTTTAAACTGGATTTCTGAGAGAAGGGCAATGAAGCGCAATGGAAATATAACATAAAAAGTAAAAACAAACTACAAATAGTCTAGCAGTACCTTAAAGACTAACAAAACATGTAGATGGTATTATGAGCTTAGGTGGGCACAACCCTAAAGTGTTTTGTTAGTCTTTAAGGTGCTACTAGACTATTTGTAGTTTAAGTTTTTCCAGTTGCAGGCTAACTCGCTTCCCCCTCTGAAAATTATAAAAAGTGTTGCACTTTAATTGAAGTAAACTTAAACATAATATGGGATATGACCTATGTCCCTCCCCTGTTCCAGGTGAAACAGTTTGACATTCCTGCCTAAGATTATTTTTCTTGCATTTATAGATGAGATTATATATAAAATAGTATATTCTCTCTCTCTCTCTCATTTAGATATCAAGAAAGTTTTTCTTGATGGGTGACAGAATGATGTCATCAAACTCTGGCCGTGAGGGCAAAAACAGCCAGACAGAGGGGGGTTTGTGAGTGTAGTGAGCATGGGTTCTTAAAAAACAGTGCAAAACTGTCAAACATAATGACTAAGAACATAAACAGTTCTGCACAAGATAGGGGAAAATACAGATAAAGCCTATCAAACACTGACTTAGACTCACAAGAGCGAGGAATTATTTACATCTGGCCGGCTGGCCATGAGTTCAAGAGCTTTTCCTAAACGCTAGGAGGTAGGAACAGCAAATTTGGTATGAAGCTTTCTCTTATAACTTAAAGAAAGGTTAGGGTTTGTCGTGGCACGTAAGTGGACAGCTATACTCCAGTGACCACGGGGGACAGCAAGCATGCCCTTGCCACCCCAACAGCTATAGATCTGTAGAGTACCTGCCAGCTGGTCAGTACAGCCCCTCTCCCCCGCCCCCTGCTCCAGGGAAGATGTTCCCATCACGCCAGTGGACCCAGGTAGAGGTTCCCAGCAGCCCTGGAGAGCTGTGGAGCAGCTAGCTGCCAGCTGAGCTGCATGGCCCAGGCCTGGCACAAAGCCTCTTCCTCCTCTGCCCCTCAGCATACAGAGCCACATAGAACAGCAGCTGGGAAGAGAAGGGAAGGGAAGCCTGCTTGAGAGTGCTACTGGCCAAGAGCTGCTTAGATAGGCTCTAGCCAGGAGGTGCTTGTCTCTGATACTCCGCCATGTCACACACCCAACTCCTTCCCAGACCCTGTACCCCTCCTATGTCCCTCCCCCTAGGCCAGAATCCTCTCCTTCACCCTAGGGATGTAATAGTGTAGTCGATTAACCAATAAGCAAAAGCTCATAGACTATGCTATAGACTACATGCATTTCCCCCCCTCTCCCTCTTTGCCAGGCTGGCCAGCAGCCCAACTCAGTCCTGGCTTGCAACAGGGCTGGGACCTACCCCTGCTACGTCTCTGCATTTAAACTGTATTAGGAGCTGGGTGCACAAGCAGCCCAGCTCAATTCCAACTCACACCGGGTCGCATGAAGGGAGCTGTTTTTGAAACTGGCTCCCCACATGGACCAGCTCCCTCCTGGCACCCCACACTGCTGCCTCTGTATCAGAGGCAGCAGCACAGATGGCAGGGGACTCCTCCAGAATGGGGCTGGAGCGCAGTCGCTGCTGGCCCCTCCTCCAGGGACTATAGAATAATTGACTAACCAATAAGAATTCGTGAGGTTACTCAACCATTAAATTGTCCTATATTTAGCATCTCTACTTCACCCATACTCCCTTCTGGACCCTGAATCTCAATCCCTGCCCTAGATCATAGCCCCTTCCTTCACCCAAACTTCCTGTCAGACCCCACGCCCTCTTCTGAACCCCAGTCTCCTAGCCTAAACTCCCTTCTGCACCTAACCTCTGTCCCAGATCCCCCACACCTTCCATAGAAAAGTGTGGCCCTTGTCCACTTACCAAAGTGCCCCCCCCCATCAAAAATTGTGCATCTCTGCTTTAATTCCATGATTACTTACTATTTTCCAAAGGGCCTGCCTCATTCAAGGAATGGATATTTATTCTTATCCTTCACATTCAGTGTGTGCCCTTTATACTTCTTATGCAGTCCCACCAGCACCCTCTGCTGCTATCCACCCTCATTACCAGCTGCTGCACCCCTTGGACTCACCCCATCCTATGGCTCCTTCAATCCCCAGTGTATTTCAGCCAGAGATTTTTGCAGGGTAAAGTAAGCCTCCTGAAGTGCTTCTGATGTGTATCTATAGTCAATTCCATCCAAGAAGCTTTTAAAGCTACAGTACAAGAAATGAGAAATCTCTAGGGTAGGGCTACTCAACACGCAGTCCACGGTGTGGTTTGGTTTATGCGCTGCTCAGCATGTGGCCCATGGGTGGGATCCTTTGAACATGGTCTCCACTGGGAACACGCTCCACAATGGCAAGGTGTCTCCCAGGTTGGGTGAGCATTGAAAGACGCAAGTGGACTGGCTGGTTGGAACAGATGGGTACAGGGAGGAGGTGGCAGGGCATTGTGGGAAATGCTTTGTATTCATGCCAGTCAGTGTAAAAGAAGCTTTTTGCATATATTAGCATACATATTTGCATGTATATGCCACTACACTTAAGTTGTGGCCCTCAGCATGTGCTGAGTATCATTGTGGCCCCCAGGGCTTCCAAAGTTAAGTAGCCCTGCTCCAGGGGTATGTATACACAGCAGTGTTATTTCGGAATAACTGACGTTATTTCAAAATAATATAGTGCACATCTACACAGCAAGCTGTTATTTTGAAATCATGTCGAGATGAAGGACTTGTTACTCCAACTCCTGTAACCCTCATTTCACGAGGAGGAAGGGAAGTGAAAAGAAGAGTGTTCTTCCTTTAACTTGCTGCTCTGTAGATAGTGCCAAAAGCCGAGTTAAGCTGTTTTGATTTCAGCTACACAATTGTTGATGTACCTAAACTTGCATATCTTAATTTGACTTTTGCCCTACAGTGTAGATATGCCCTATAAGTCCAGATCTCTTCATTCTTTTCAATTAATTGAGCGTTCATTACAACTTATGTTGCTGATTTTTTTCCTCCCCTCCAAAGCCCCGCTCAAAGGAATACCAAAACAAGCTCCATTCAGGAGTCCCACAACACCTAGTGTATTTAGCCCTGCTGGAAACAGAACCCCTATTCCTCCTTCAAGAACGCCTCTGCGCAAAGAAAGAGGAGTGAAAGTAAGTGATAGCCTTTTTAAGTACTCTTACGTTTTCCCATCAGTCTCAACCTTTAATCAAAAGAACTATACTTCGCTGATAGTGGCTATATAGCAGTTAATATTTTTTATTAGTTTTCAAAATATGTAATCAATTACTACAAATAAGGTATTACTCTTAAAAATGAAAAATTAAATGCACAACTATGAAATGTGGAATAACTGGTGAGGTTGCAGTACTGCTGAAAAGGACCTGATGGTTGTAGAGTAGTGTTTCTCAACCAGTGGTACGAGTACCCTTAGGGGTACTGGAGAGAAGTCTGGGGAGTAAGTCAACACAACAGAAATTTGGAAAAAACTGAATTTTTGTTTTAAGTTTTACAGAGTTTTATTTTTGTATTTTTTTACACCCAAACATTTCATTGCCCAATTAAGTTGTTTAAACAAATGTATTGCAATGATAGAAAAAAATTGTGTGTGTTTGAAAACTGTAGGTACTAGGGTGCTTATAATTTTTTTAAAAGGGTGCTTTATAAAAAAAAGGTTGAAAAACCCTGTTGTAGAGAATCACAAATGGAATATAAGCTGATAAACTGATACAGTTGCAAAAAAGTTTAGTATTATAGAGTATTTATCAGGTTGTAAATAAGACAAAGGAGGTAATTATCTTGCTGTATTCAACATTAGTGAGGTCTCAGCTGCAGTATTGTGTCCACTTCTGGGTGTCACACGTCAGGGAAGATGTGGCTAAACTGGAGAGAGTACAGAGAAGAACAACAAAAACAATAAAAAGGTTTAAAAATCCTGATCGATGAGGAAAGGTTAAAAACTAGTTAGGTTTAATCGAGAAAAGAAGACTGAGGGGAGGAATATGATAACTTTCAAATGTGTTAATAGTTAATGGCTGCTTTAAAGATGACAGTGATTAATTGTTCTCCATGTCTGTTGAAGGAAGGACAAGAAGTAATAGCAAGGGAGATATATATTAGATATTGGGAAGAAGTTTGCTTGTGGGAATACTCTTCCAAGGAGGGCTGTGGAATTGAAGGTTTTTAAGAAGAGATTGGACAAACACCCTTCTGAAGTGGTTTAGGTATACTTGATCTTGCCTTGGCAAAGGGGACTAGACTTAATAACCTCTCAAGCTTCATTTCAGCCCTGCATTTCTGTGATTCTGTGAAATACTTTGGTATGCATTTACATGCAATAATTTTTATTTTTGGTAGCTACTAGATATCTCAGAGTTGGATATGGTTGGCGCTGGTCGTGAAGCAAAGAGAAGAAGAAAGACTCTAGGTTGGTACAGCATGATGTCAGTAAGGTGTATAAATGTTACCAACTGGGCTTCCTTGAAAACAGGATCCAGATATTTCCTGACAATATCATTTTTGTAAATCCCACTCTTCATTAAACTTAATATAAATTCAGATGGGTGTAAACTTGAGGGGAGATTCCTCCCTTTGAAAAAAATGGTTACTAATGTTACATAACTGTTGGTCTTTGAGATGTTTTGCTCATGTCCATTCCAGAGTAGGTGTTCGCTTGCCCTGAGGTCCACCATTGGAAAGTTTTTCCCTCAGTGGTATCAGTCAGTGTCTCCAGTTATAACACTGGTATAAAGGACCCACCAACTCTTTTTATATCTAACACTCAACAGAGGAGCAGATAGGGGGTTGGAATGTACATAAGCAACAAATCTTGAAGAGCCACAGCTATGGAAAGCTAGCAACCATTTTTTCTTCAAGTGCTTGCTCATGTCCATTCCAAAGGTGACTCCCAAGCCACCATGTAGGTGGAAGGTTTGAAGTTTATTGGCATGCTGATCATTAATAATGCTTGGACAAAGCCTGCACCATCTCTAGCCTGCTGGGTGATGGTGTAATGGGATGCAAAATAGTGGATTAATGACCACATTGCTACTCTACAGATGTCCTGGATAGGAACTTGAGTTAAAAATACCGCCAAAGAGTCTTTGTAGAATGGACCATCCTTGTGGAATGGACCATCAGGGCAGGAGAAGCAGAGAACTTTGCTAGGTCATAGCATGTGTGGCTACAGGATGATAAAATTCTCTGGGCTGGACTGGAAGGCCTTTCGTTCTGTCTGCCATAGCTATAAAAGGATGAATAGATTTTCAAAATGATTTAGTCTTTTCTATGTAGAAGGCTAGTGCATACCGGATATCCAAGTGCATGGAGTCTCAGTTCATCCTTGCTGTCATGTGGTTTCAGATAATCTTCCTACTGGTCTTCTATCCTGAGTACTACGGAATTATGAGACCACCTTTGAAAGGCAGGCTGGACGTGGCTGCAATTGAGCCATGTCCTTGAAGACCTTATAAGGTGGTTCTGAAGTAAGGGCTCAGATCTCTCAAGATTCTTCTGGCAGAAATAAAGGCCACCTGAAAGGCCACCTTTCAGAATCGGTAGAGCAGAGATCACAATGCCATTGGTTCAGATGGAGGTTCTGTTAGCCTTGCCAACACCAAGTTGAGGTACCAGCTGGAGTGTGGATTCTGTATCTGGGTTTATAACCTCTCCAGACCCTTAGGAAAATGATTACAAATGGTTTGAGAAAACAGAAAGGCCATTCACTGATGGGTGAAAAGCCAAGATTGTAGCTAGATGGACTCTAATAGATGATACAGGTAGGCCGTATGGTTGTAGAGTTATTAATCTAAAATGAAACGTGATGCTGATTGTGTAAGTAAGGGAATGTGTAAAAGTGACGGTCTGTCCAAGAAAGGAGAAAAGTGTTTGTGTGACCCAGGAATGAGCAAATTGAAGACATTTCTTGTTATGCTTCATTGCAAGCAGATCTGTCTGGGGAAACCCTCACTTCTGAAAAATGCCTTTGATGGCATCTGGACAGATGGACAACTTGTGGTGGTTGCTAAGGACCTGCTAAGATGATTCACTGGCTTGTTCTGTGCCCTGGAAGAAAGCAGGCTTTGAGTGGGCTATGCTGAATTTCCACAAGCTAAGAACTTCCTGGGAGAGATGGGAGGAGCATACACCACCCTGCTTATTTATATAAAACATTGCTGTTGTGTTGACTGTAAGAACCAATATGCACATGTGCGTCAAATGGGATTGGAAAGTCTCACAGGCAAGGCGAACCATCCTGAGCTCCTGACATTGAAGTGTAGCAAGAGCTCTTTCAGAGACCAGAGGCCCTGAGTCTTGAGGATCCCTAAATGAGCATGACCAGCCCATTGCGGATGCATCTGTGATGAGAGACTTGATCGCTGATGGTGAGGGTCTTGAGCCTCTTCCCATAACTACTGACAAAACAATTGGGCTGCAAAGTCCACTGCATCCAAGGCTTCCGATAGGAAAACTCTGGCCACCGATTTTTTTCATCCTCAACTAGGGCTGTGAATTCACTTTTGGACTCCTGGGGTAGCAATTCCTTGAATTTTGCCATCAAGTTCCAAGAATTAAAATCAGCAGCTCAGGAGTACTTGCTGATTTGCAATCCTGAGCTGGAGGCTGCCAGTTGAATAGGATCTTTTTGGAGAAAAATCTAACTTTCTGACATCTCTGGCCTTGGGGTTGGATTAGCTGACCATGATGCTCCTGTTCTTTGGCCACTCTTACCACCAATGAGCCCCATGGTAGATGGGTATAAAGGAATTCAACCCTGTTGGCTGGAACAAAAAAACTTTTTCCCCTATCCTTTTCTCCGTTGGTTGTAAAGAAACTGGGGTCTGGCATAAGGCCTTGATGGGGTTCATAATGGCCTTGTTTAAGAGCAAAACCACTAGTGAGGGCCTGATGTAACAAAAAAGTACACCAAGTCATGGGAGGACTCGCTAATCTCCTCTACCGGACTCCCAGATTTTTAGCTACTCTTTCAAGGACCTCCTGGTGTGCCCTATAATCATCATACAAGAAGGTGCTATGCTTGTTCCCATCACAGCCTCATCAGGAGAGAAGGAAGAAGAGGCCTATACATCCAAGGGGCACCATTCCTTGCTCTCAGCAGCAGCTGAGTCTTGTGGTGCTGGGTCTTAAAATTTGACACCAAGCTCTGTACCAGAACATGGACCCTGATCCAAGGAAGGTGCTGGTGGAGTTCTGGACTCTGAAACAACAGAGTAGAATCTCCTAGATATAGGGTATGTCTAGACTACATGCCTCTGTCACCAGAGGCATGTAGATTAGGCTACCAGACATAGTAAAATGAAGCAGCGATTTAAATAATCGCCGCTTCATTTAAATTTACATGGCTGCCGCGCTGAGCCGACAAACAGCTGATCAGTCTGTGCGCGATAGTCTGGACGCGTGGGTGGCGACATCAAAGGTATTTGTCGACCACCCAGGTATACCTCATCCTAGGAGGCATACCTGGGTGGTCGACAAATACCTTTGATGTCGCCACCCACGCGTCCAGACTATCGCGCACAGACTGATCAGCTGTTTGTCGGCTCAGCGCGGCAGCCATGTAAATTTAAATGAAGCGGCGATTATTTAAATCGCTGCTTCATTTTACTATGTCTGGTAGCCTAATCTACATGCCTCTGGCGACAGAGGCATGTAGTCTAGATGTACCCTTAGACTACCCAGTAAGCCTAGGCTTATCGGGTGGTCGACTACTTGACTAGTCGCCTACATCCCTAATAGAGTGGACAACTGGCAGGACCCTTTATGGGGTGCTATGAGCATGCAACTGCAGGGGACACTGGAATGGGCCTGACCAATGCCACTGAGGGAAAAACTTGCCAACATTCGTGCTCAGGGTGAGCAAACATCTACTTTGGAATGTACATGAGGATGCATTCAATTAAAGGTAGCCTTGTTTGTTGCTGAATTCTGCTAATTAAATTAGTGTGCCCTAGAAATGCATTGAAAGGATTGAACTAACCATCTATGTCTTCTTGAATACACAAACATCCTGACAAAAATGAATGTCACATTCGCTTCTCCTTTTGTGTTAAGGTTAGAAAAAGTTCTGAAATGTTTTTGTGTAGTCTATACTTTTACCTGTGGCATAACTAAGTGAATTTTTAAAGGATCAATTTTGAATTTATATATATATATATATGGTATATGAGGGTCTTCAAGATTTACGTTGAATGATCTTAAAAGAACAAAGAAATATGTTCAGCATTATTTTAATAATAATCCTGAATGAGAAGACTGGGCTATTTAAACACATGTAGAACACAATTTAGATAGCATGTTTTTCTTGGAACACTTTCTTCATTTTGCAATTTACTAAATGAAAACAAATCTCAATTCATTTTTGGATAATGCAAAACAAGTTAAACATATTTTTATGAATGAAATCACAATTGTAATAAGAGTTGTGATGAATAGCTGTGCTCTGTTTTTCTGAGGCTGGTCTGTTGTCTGCTCAAATTCAATATATTGGTGAAATGTAAATTTTGTGGTTAATTTAAGCTTCAGCTTGATTATGAAACTACTTGGGTGTTTTGTACGAGAAACATTGATTTTTTTTTTTAACTGGCATTTTAACACGTTATCTAAGAATGACTGATGTGGAAAAAGTGAATAAGGAAAAATTATTTACTTATTCTCATAATATAAGGATTATAGGTCACCAAATGAAATTAATGGGTAGAGGCTTAAAACAAACAAAAGGAAGTTTTCCTTCATTCAGTGCACAGTCAACCTGTGGTACTTCTTGCCAAATGATGTTGTGAAGACCAGGACCTTAACAGCATTTTAAAAAAAATCCTACATAAATTCATGGAGGATAGGTCCAGCAATGGCTATTAGCCAGGATGGGTAGGAATGTTGTCCCTAGCCTCTGTTTGTCAGAGGCTGGATATAGATGACAGGAGAGGGATCACTTGATGATTACCTGTTCTGTTTTTTCCCTCTGGGGCATCTGGCATTGGCCACTGTTGGAAGACAGAATACTGAACTAGATGGACCTTTGCTGTGACCCAGTATGGCTGTTCTTATGTTCTCTTAATCTTTTACATGGATCACTCTAAAAATCTAATTCAGGAATTATATCAGGAAGATAACTTTCCTAACACCTTCTTTTCTATCCAATAGATACAGAAGTGGTGGAAAAACAAGCCAAAGAGGAAACAGTAGTAGAAAACGCAACCCCAGATTATGCTGCTGGCCTTGTATCTACCCAGGTAGGACTTTAAGTTGCAGTGAAATACAGAATTGTGCTGCATATTTTATTCTAAAGATTTGTTCTGTATCCTGTTTCAAGTTTAGCTCTAAGTGAATAATTATTTGTAATGATTTCACAAAATATTGTTTGTATTTCGCTAACAATTAACAATGCAGAATGAACTCTTAAACGTATTCTAGGAGAATGAGTGAGAGCTTCTTTGATAAATGTAACTTAAGGGGACGTGAAGAGTTTGGATCTAGAAATATGGATTATCATTACAAAATGCTAATTCTATAGAAACTTTGAATGATTGACAACTTTTCAGGAAGTTTCTGGAGTTCTATAACTTACATGCATAGAGAAGTTATGCCAGGAAAAGTAGATTCTGAATTCAGTCTGCACTAGGTACAGCATTATAACTCAGGTCTTACTGTAGATGAGGCCACAGTAAGACCTTAGTCCTAAATTAGCCCTCCAATGTCAATTTTGTAAGTGATACATCCACACTACAAAGCCCATTATTCTGGAATAAGGGGCCTGGAATTTGAACTCTGTAGTCCTGATTTTCATGAGGAATAACGCTATTACCGTACTTGTAAGTCCAAAATAATGTTAGTGTGGATGCTCTGGGCCGCTAATTCAAACTAACTGGCCTCCTGCAGCTCACCAGAGGCAGCACATCCACATTAAAAGAGCCTGCTTTGGACTACATTCAATTCTTCCCTATAGTGAGGACACAGAACTTCGCATTTGTAAAATCAGGTGCCCAGAAGTCGAACTTGGTAAATTCAAAATAATCTTCTATTGTAGACATGGCCTGCGTGAACACTTTTTTTTTATTCTAGAAGAAGAGTATCGTCTTCCAGTTTAGTTTATACAGTAGACTTCCGATAATCCGGCACCTTTGGGACCTAGGTGGTGCTGGATTATTGGATATGCCGGAGTATCAGGAGGTATTTCCGGCGGGGGGCTGTGACGGGTCTGTCAGGACCCGCACTACGTCTGGGGGGGGGGGCGGGGGAGAAAGGGGGAAGGGGGGGGCCCT